CTGACTGAAATCTCAGAATTCTGACTTTTTTGTTAGAATTCTGACTTAAATCTTAGAATTCTGACTTTTTTTGTTTGAATTCTGACTTTAATCTCAGAATTCTGACTTTTTTGTTAGAATTCTGACTTAAATCTTAAGTTCTGACTCTTTTTGTTAGAATTCTGACTTTAATCTCAGAATTCTGACTTTTTTGTTAGAATTCTGACTTAAATCTTAGAATTCTGACTTTTTTCTTAGAATTCTGACTTTTTTGTTAGAATTCTGACTTAAATCTTAAGTTCTGACTCTTTTTGTTAGAATTCTGACTTTAATCTCAGAATTCTGACTTTTTTGTTAGAATTCTGACTTTTTTGTTAGAATTCTGACTTGAATCTTAGAGTTCTGACTCTTTTTGTTAGAATTCTGACTTAAATCTCAGAATTCTGACTTTTTTGTTAGAATTCTGACTTAAATCTTAGAATTCTGACTTTTTTGTTAGAATTCTGACTTAAATCTTAGAGTTCTGACTCTTTTTGTTAGAATTCTGACTTAAATCTCAGAATTCTGACTTTTTTTGTTAGAATTCTGACTTAAATCTTAGAATTCTGACTTTTTTTGTTAGAATTCTGACTTTAATTTCAGAATTCTGAATTTTTTTCTCAGAATTCTGACTTTAATCTCAGAATTCTGACTTTTTTCTCATAATTCTGAACATAATAAAACATAAATATGGATCTAGGCACAAAATGAGCACCTTGATATGTGCTTTAGAATGGCTTTGTCTCCATTCAAATCCAGGTTTAAAGCCTTGCAGGCCAGCATAAAGCCCACTGCTCTCATTAAGACAGAAAAACAGTGTTTTACATTCTTTTATAAAATATGTGAATCAGGAAATTGTCTATATACCAAACTGAACGATTGTTGTTCTCTACTTCAAAAAACACATTAGATTTTAAATGGAAACATTTTCTTTTTTTTTTCTTTATATTTAAAAATTCAGTGTATAACATGGATGCATAAAAACCTCATTTTATTTCAGTGTTAAATTCTGTTTAAAGTTACAGATTCTAATGAAATATGTCTCCAAACCTTTACTGGTTGTTGATGTTCTTTATTCGCACCCTGCTGATTTTTTATTGGTTACCCCTGGTTTATAGGGTTGTAAAACCATCATGCTTTGTCTGTAATCTGTTGAAAATGCCAGAAAGGATGTTTTCTTGTGATGTGTATGTTGAACCAGCCAGTGCATGTCGTCCAAACCCAGTAAATCCAAAGTTTGTGTGCCTTTCACTGACTTTCTGGGTGAGTTTTAATGCACTCTTTTAGCAATCCTGTGGGAAGAATCACCATTTTTACATCCTTTATCTCTCAAGATAATGTCTGACACTGATTCACTAAAGTGAGAAAACCTGGAAATGTGTTTTAACTCACAGATGTCAAAACTTTACATGTTTGCTCTTTTACATCGTGGCAGTAGGCTACTTGTTGCTTTTTGAGATCTTTAAG